CTTTTCTTTTTCGACCCGTTTATATTTCGAGCTCAAAAAGTGTGTTCATGTTCGGCTCGTTTGCTCAGCGAGCTGAACACAAGCCGTTCACGAACAAAAAATCGTTTTGACAAACCAAATCATGTAGCTCCATTTTGAATGTGGAAAATATTTCCCAATTGTACGTTTGGAGACTTCATCATCAATCGATGACGGTTGGCCTAGACCTAAGTATTTCACCTTATAGACAAATCTTTATGTGGCGAGGTCGTAGACCCTCCTCTTATTTCTTCCCCCGACAACTTGCCTCCATATCACAAAGTCTGGATGATCAAATTGACCACTAGAGCAACAAATTCCTGATGGGCCCTGACTTTGAGCATCCTTCAAACACAAATACTCTTCCTATATAAGATTTTAAAGGGTAATTAGCATCAAAATAAGATTTTTAATAAATTTCACTAAAATAATAATGTTATATAAAAAATGGTCTTAATTAATTATAATTAAATAAAAAAATGACGGTCAATAGGACACAATGGAAAAAAGGATTCATGTTGCCAACCCACTTAGTTCGATAAAGGCTTGTTGTTGTTGTTGTTGCTGCTGTATAGTTTTTCATTTATAAAATTGGATGGATTTACATATACATGTAATACTTAAATCCTACGTATTTTCATTTCTAACACCTTATTACGCATGCAAATAAAATGGTATTTATGATGTAATACGAAAGAAATGGGTGGTATGAATGTAAAAAAGTAAAGTTTAGGTGTCATATATACAAATACCTTGCTAGGAATTGGGTGATATGCATATGAATGCTTCAGACTTTTCACAGTTATTTTCTCATCAATTTCTCTCTTGTTTAGACTGAATACGCCCAAAATACTATTTTTATACAAATACGCCACCTTATCTATTGCATGAAAATTTGTATTTCTTTCAAGGTTGAAATAGTGATATTTCTTATATGCTGTGAAAGCTTTCGGTGGTATAAATGTAAAAAAGAAGAATTAAGGTGCTATATATGTAAATGCCCCCAAGATTTTAATTTATCTTTTCTCATCATAATTCTCTCTTATGTCTGGACCGAACACACCCAAAATACTATATTTATACAATGTTATTGGCTAACAATTAAATTAATTTAAAATATATAAAAATTCCTTTTTTGGCTGCTATGTTGACTGCATTAAACTCATGTGAATCACTTCAACGATCAAAACCTATTTTAACACCCTACTCTTTTGTATTTACTTATATACCATCAAACTTTGAGTTTTTTCATTTGTATCATCCCGCTCATTCATATCAAATCAAAAATACGAGCACTTTTCATGTGTAGATAAGGCAGCATAATGTGTCATGTTAATAGGGGTGTAAACAAGCCGAACACGAGCGAGACCAAGCTCATCTCATGTTCGGCTCGTTTATATACCGAGCTCAAAAAGTGTGGTCGTGTTCGGCTTGTTTGCTTAGCGAGCTGAACACGAGCCGTTCACGAACAAAGAGTCGTTTTGAAAAACCTAATCATGTAGTTATATGATTGAGGCAAGATTCAAAACATCATTTGAATCTAACTTAATAACTTTTATTCTATTTTCTTAATTAATACTTTTAATTGATTATAAATCTTTGTAGCCTTGTAGTCAATTAAATTTTTTAAAAATACTACTCATCATATATATATATATATATTATGAGCCTCGAGCTACCTCTAAGGTGCATTAATTTATGTTGAAAAATAGACTTTATCTTGTTTGATCGTTAGAGCATTTCGTTTATTAGAGTCATAATTTCATATATGATAAATGGATGGCAAATTGTAGAAGGGTGTATTTCTTTTTCCTTTTATATATATTATGAGCCTCGAGCTACCTCTAAGGTGCATTAATTTATGTTGAAAAATAGACTTTATCTTGTTTGATTGTTAGAACATTTCGTTTATTAGAGCCATAATTTCATATATAATAAATGGATGGCAAATTGTAAAAAAGGTGTATTTCTTTTTCCTTTTTTTTTTCTTTTTCAAGGATTTACATACTTCAAATTTCTCACACACACATATAGATATATATATATAGATATATATATATATAACCTCTCTATGATATGAAAGATTTGGGTGGTCTAAATGTAAAAAAGTAGTGTTTAGGTTTTATACCGCAAAACGATGACAAATGA